TCTTTTCGTCCACGGCAAGACGCACTGGATTCGGCCCAGTTTCGGGACACCTCGAATCAACTTCAAATTCGCACACAACAGCATTTGGGGTGGAGCACAGCATAATCTTGGGATAGCGATAGCAACATGACCGAATTCATCGGGCAGTGCTCCAGGCTATTTGAACTAGATAAGGTCAAACAATGACCAAGGACCCTAAACCAATGACTTTATCTCGACATAGGCCATACGCTCGCTTTTCTGCGCTCGATCAGGGACCGAACGGCTGGGTCCGATATATTCGATATACATATGTATAGCCTTGAGCAAGGCTGCGGAGTCGGAGTCGGAATCGGAGTTGTCGGAGTCGGAGTCGGAGTCGGAGTCGACAAAATCTTACCGACTCTGACTCCGGAGTCGGAGTTAACGCTCCATGGCTCAACGCAATGCACGGCGCCTGTTTGATTGACGATACTGCACTCAAAATTATATTTTTTCGAAAAAAGGCAATTTTGCTGTTTTGGACGAACGTTTTCAGCGAAAGAAGCAGCAGACGGTGAATGCTCCAGAACCCGCTTTTTAATCCTGCATGTTATTTTTAATGCATATTTGCAACGCAAAACCTTGGAACGCTCAAATGGGATCGTTTCAGGCAAAATAAAAACCTCTCAATTATGAACTTTAACCCGCGCCCCGCTGGGGGGGGGGGGGCAGAATCTGCCCCCTCCCGTTTTTCGCCAACAACTTCTAAACGCGTTACGCCAGCAACATCAAACTTTCAGTACCTTATCATATATCAATTTAAGACGTTCCTGCAAATTTGAGTGAAATCCGTCGGAAATTTTTGAGAAAATGACGTTTTAGTGACGTTCATGTTCGCCATTTTCGCCTCAAAAACGGCAAAATTTCAAACGTCGCTAACATCTTCATTTTTTTAAGGAATCCAGACGTAATAAAAAGGTTATACGTGATTCTACTTTGTCTATCAAATGGCGATCTCGGTTAAAAAAAAAAAATAGACTTTGGCCCAATTTTTTTTCTTTAAAAAAACTAACTTTCTTTTGGAAAATAATTACCTATAAAATCCAAAATTTTGAGTGTATCGAAAAAACCGGAATATATGTCAGTGAAGTGGTCTATGTGCACCTACATACCAATTTTTAGAAGAATCGGTTCAAAAATGTGGGAGTTATTCAAAATTTTATGACGTCACGACACACACACACACACACACAGAATGTTTATTAAAACCCTCGCCCGCACATGCCATTTTCCCATCCTAGAACGCACATGGGGGGGGGGGTTGCCATCCCCCCCGCGCCATTTCGTTCCTGTTGGAGATAGAGCTTAGCGGTAAAGACCAAAAAGATTCTTTGGGAAGAGACGAATCCAATGATACCCAGTTTTACCTTCTCAGGTCAGTCATTGACCTTCCAGGTCAGGTCAAACTAAAAAATGTTGCTGTTTTGGGTCACCGTTGGATATCAAGTGCGCTACTTATCATATACCGATGACGATGCTGTTTTCTGGTGCCAAGCCAGCTAGAACCTCTTTGTCACACTACCCGACCAGATTTTTGTTGCTGAGGTCATTTCAGGTCAAGTTAGGTCAAGGTCAATTATGTGTTTGTATGTCTGTGTGTGTCTGTGTGCATACTGATGTGTGCACAGATTGTTTTTGTGTCCATATTACATGAAATCATGATCGACTCCGGAGCTTTTACCAAAAATGCAGTCAAAAAACTTCACAAAAAGTAAATTTCGCTTGCCCAAAACGCAATTATCTTGGATGACCTAGGTTGACCTTGACCTTGACATATGTACATCGTCGAACAACATGTTCCATGATAGGTGGGAGGTAAGACTGGCAAAAAAGGCCGAAATCAAGGTGTCAAAAGCTCACAAGACCCATAGCCAAAGCAAGATATTGGGTATTTGTCATATGGGTTATGGCATCACCTGAAGAATAAGGTCACATCTCCGAAACCAAAAACCACAGAAACTTGAAATTTTCAGTGGACATCAAGAAAGGATAGAGGAGCAGCTATACCAAAAATCAGCCTCCTAGCTCTAAAAATGTTGAGTTCAGAGCAGAAAGACTACCTGGGGGGGGGGCAACCACCCCCCCCCATGTGCGGGCGGGGGTAATCAACACGTATTACCAAAAAGAGAAACGTAAGTAGAAAACAAATAGTTATAAGGCGTTTCGAAAAAATAATACCAGATTGGTGCAAAAGCGCCAAGCGCTTAATTATAGGCACCTCTGTAAGGGAAATGAAATTAATTGCTGCTAATCACAACGCCGCCGCCAACCCGGTCACCGATGAGCGGTTGGGATGAATGCAGACCGCGCGCCGGCCCGCGGGGACAGCACCAAGGTCACCGATTGAAAATCAGTGAAATACGAAGGTTGATTTTAAAGAAAATCAACAATTAAAAAAAAGTTTTTTAACGTTCTAGACCTCGTACGGAAACAAGAATAGCACCATTCGATACACCGTGAAAAACTGCATCAGATAGACACCTTTTTAGGCCTTAACAACCAACTTCAAAATTTGACCTCACTTGACCCGACCTTGACCTGACGGCTGACCTCGACCTGAAATTCATCCAGAGGTGGTCCACATCACTTATTGAGTGTGCCTATTGAATTCTATGAATACAATGAGCCATAACCATGTGTCGCACATGCTCTTTTCTGTATTTTGTTTTTGGTGACCTGACCTGACCTGACCTTGACCTTCGAATGATATTGATGATATTGCATGCAACGAATATTGTCTTGGTAGCCTAAGAACACGTTTTGGGCAATCAGTCTCAGTCCATTACTCGGCAACTACGGTGCAAGGCCGATACTGTAGAAACTTGCATTTTGTACCCTTGACCTGACCTTGACCTGACCTCTGACCTACTTAAGCAAAACAAATGGGCTTTTAAGATCCGCCTTGTTGAGAGCTTTCGATTGCCGTTTTCCCAGTCTTTCTACGACCATCGGTTCGGAAGTTAGACAGGGGGGGGGGCGGAATCTGCCCCCCCCCCCCCCAGCAGGGCGCGTATGAATAGCCCAGCGGGGCGCGGGTTAATATCATAATATGAATTTTAATAGAACCGTCCGGAGTCGGAGTCTGAGTCGCGTTCGATTTTTGAAGCCGGAGTCGGAGTCGGAGTCACCCTACAATCCATCGACTTCGCAACCCTGTCCGATCGACCGCCTCCCGGCTGTGAAACGTTTAAACGTTAGCGGCTGTGAAAAAGCCAGCACGAGCGAGGGTTAAGCACTAAAATTATCATATTACAGTTTCCTATAATGCAGTAGCGGCGGAACACCTTCAATGAAGGGGGGGGGGGGGCACTGCCGACTTTTGGTCCCATTCTTTCCATGCAACGCCCATAGGGCTAATGTTGAAATGCCAAAATCAAAAGGGGGGCACGGTGCCCCGGTGCCCTCCCCGTTCCGCCGCCTATGCTTTAATGTTGTGCAAGTGCAATCAGTCATTCAGTGTTGACCTATATCTGGACGAATCTTGCTCTACTTGAACCGTCTAAATTTTACAGACCTTAAGTTGCCTGTTATTTCAACAAATATCCGCCAAAATGACCTAATGTGAGATTTGGAGCTTCTGGTTTTCAGCCAAAGCACTGGGCATAAAAGTAAAAAAGGTATCGGGGATATACATTTACCTACATATGACGACGGTTGAAATAAAATATATATCTTTTTGCGATTCGATAAGTAGTCGTTTTATATCAATATAAACGGCTCGCAATAGGTCTCGGGCCTCGATTTAAAACTATTGAACACAATAAATGCAATAGCCAGCAGGCAGCAGCCACACTAACCAGGCTCACACTAACAAGTAACAACAATAGGTAGGTGAACCTTTTCACGACACCCCTGATCACGATGTGCTCATTGTTCACCGTAGATTATGTAACACCTAGGGGAGGGACGTCAACGTAGCCTCCCAATCCGGCCCCTGCGAAATGTCGAATGGGCGACCCGCATACCAGTTCCCGCATAGGTGAGTTATGTAACACAGGGTAATTATGGGCGTAAGCACGGATAATGTATCGGCCTTTAGGTATCGGCATAATCACGGTGAGCTGAACATTCGTATTAGCTCACAATAAATTATACATGTCTCTGTTGCACGCGTAACAAAACTCCAACATTCTCACGCCTCTACCCTTCCCCTTTTCGTCGGTACTCACCGTCAGAGATGTCTCACGTGGTCCCGTCGATGTCGACAGCTCGCTCGCGGTCGTCCGGTGGGCCCCTTGCGCTCCGATCCGCGACTGGCGGTCCCGTGCGCGGCGGGAGGCGAAGCGAGCATCACACCCGGCGGCCAACGAAGGACGGTGGTAGAGTGGCGGGTTTCGAGGCCACGCGCCCGGTCGGCGAGAGCTCGTAAGTGCTGATATGAAGATAAGGGAAGGGAGCTCCGTCTGTAATATCCATATTAAGCTCTTTGATTCTATCCCTAACCTCATCCACTCAACCTGCAGAAGCTACGGCTAGGGACCTAAAGCTATGCTTCATCAACGGCCCTGACGTGTTTGAATTCCGCCACTCTGACTCTTTATCAGACCGTCCAGCTAGCTCCCTGTTCACCGTCCAACGACGGCAGGCCAGGTGAGCTCTTTGATGTCGTGTATGATAGCATAAGTAGCAACATGAGTAGAACATGCAGCTCTAGTAACGCTCGCCAGCCCAGCCCCGAGGGGGCCGAAAGGGGTGTCGCAGTGGCCCCGTCGACCACTCCCCGACCGGCCCCGCCCCTCCCCTACAGACCAAACATGCCACGGTCCCCCGCAGCCCGGCTCAAGGTCACGAGGGCTGACGGGCCATTGCCGGTGGCTCCCGTACACGGCCTCTGGAGCTGGGGATGGGGGAGGGGTGGGGTTATCGACCCGGTGGCCCTCAGCAAACAGCTGATTGACGCACTGACAATGAACCGGGACCGGTGAAAGAGGTCTGATACACGGGAGGGCGTCGGCAGGAAACGATGTGCAGATAAGGAAAACAAAAACGTCACCGTTTATTCATTTATTCGGCGTGAGTGTTGCGCCTAAACGGTTCGCTTAGCCACCGGGCTCGGCTCACCGAAGCTTTGCGGCGAGCATTCACAATGAATGGTTGTGTTAGAATGTATTGCTATATTCTAGGTCAAAGGCAGGGATCGAGCGTATTGCACATCAGCACACGCTCTAAACATTGCACGTTACACTACGCTATAGAAAAATGCCCGAGACAAGACACCATTCACTCGTCATGCTATTCTCACATGATGAAGGCTTCTTTTTGGGAGGGCAATACCACGATATGCAAGGGAAAATAACGCTGCGGTAAATTCTCAAAACATGGTATAGATAATTGACACCAAAACCTTTTACCGTACGTACACCTATAGCACACTTTATGTACACAAAGTAGCACTTGCGGGCATCAGATCTATGAGCGATGTTGCACCAAACAGAGGACGAGGGACACAACAGGCAATCAATAGGCAGATATAGTCCATAACACATTCCTAGCGGGTATTATCGTCAAGCACTGCCATAGGGTCTGTAAGAAAAGATGTGCCGAGCTTCAGTACGTACCTCGAAGCCGTCCAGTGGTACCTCTTATCAGCCTCGCTGTCAAAGCAGCGCCAGGCAGAGCGGTACGTTGCATATCCATTTGTACTGAAGAACGAAAACAGAGCTGATTTAGACCTCGCCCTCATGGCTCGCCCTAGCTGGATCGGAAAGTACCCACATTGACCGTCCAGCCGACGCTCCGCTGGCGGTGCGGGCGCATAGTGTCGCCCTCTGCGCGGCTCGGTACCGTCACAGGTGGCGCTGTCGTCACTCGGCGCTCCCACAGGTGGTGCTGCGATCGCTCAGGGCTGCCTGTGGCGGCGCCACGACCTGTCGGCGGTACGCCGCTGGCGGCTGTGGCGGTGACGACGACCGGCGGCCGATGGCCGGTGCGGGAGTCTGCCCTGCCTCCTGCTCCCCTGCCCGCCAGCAGGAGGGCACGGCTCGTCGAGTGTCGAGGCGCTGCCGACGGGCAGTGGTGTCTCGGCGGCCGGCTCGGCGGTCAGTAGGTCCAGCACAGGGTACCGAGGCTCGGCCTGTATGTCCAGGTGGGCGTCCTGGGCGACCTTGACCAGCACACCCGGCACCGGGCTGCTGGTCACTGCAGGACACAGAGGGAGAGGCTGCATCAGGGACGCCGGCACACGACACTGTTCCGGTAGACAGATAGACAGTGTCCCCGCAGTCATTGCAGGGGCGTCACAGACCAGAGGCAGGTGGACAGAAACGTTAACGGGATCAGATACAGTAACTATCGGGTACAGTAACTCCGTATATGGGGTCGGCCAGAACTCACTGCTCTCAGCCCTAGCTGTCCTTTCCGGGGAGAAGAGGGGGCACTCACCAGCCACGTCACAATCCATGCCCTGTAGGAAGGCGCGGGGCGGCAGCTGCCGGCCGGCCGTGTCCTGTACAGTCAGCAGGAAGCCCCAGCTGTCGGCTCCCAGCTGCCAGGCACGCACCGCCGACCGAACGTCGAACGTCAGCCAGCCGTGCCGAGAGGGGGCCACCGTCAGACTGTCTACCAGCCGCGGGCCGGCCGAGGGGCCGGGAGGGCCGGCTGGGGTTCCTAGAGGCAGGAGGGAAACATATTCAGTCTGTCCATCAGACCTTCCGAGGGGCCGGGAGGGTCAGCTGGGGTTCCTAGAGGGAGGAGGGAAGAACACAGTCAGTCCAGCAGTCGCGGGCCGGCCGAGGGGCCGGGAGGGCCGGCTGGGGTTCCTAGAGGGAGACGAGGGGAACATATTCAGTCTGTCCATCAGACTGCTGTCCGAGGGGCCGGGAGGGGCGGCAGGGGTACCTAGAGGGCGAAGGGAGGGAGGAGAGTAGAGACTCAGTCAGTCATGCTGTTCACTAGCTGTGCTGGCCTTCCGAGGGGCTGGGGGGACCTCCAAGGGTGGAGGAACACAGTCAGACTACCTCCTGAAAACAGGGGGACACGAATCCCGTCAAACTATTTATTAGCCTTGGCTCTCACTAGGGGCAAGAGGAGAGAGGGTGAGAGATCCTGGAGAGCGGGAGGCCGGAGGGGTCTTAGAGAACGAGAGGTGGGCGGGCTCTGGAACCCGTCAGGACCTGGATGGCTTCAGGATGAGATCAGCACACCGTCATTGTGATGGCTACTCGACGGTGATTCATGAGCTCCCGTGGTGTGGTACATAATGACTATTGTGATGTATTAGGTCCCTCCCTCTCTCTCTCTCTCTCTCTCTCTCTCTCTCTCTCTCTCCCTCTCTCTCTCTCTCTCTCTTTCTCTCTCTCCCTCCCTCTCTCTCCCTCTCTCTCTCCCCCCTCTCTCTCTCTCTTCTGCCTCGGTCTCGGTCTCTGCCCTCTGCCCTCTGCCTCTGCCTCTGCCTCTGCCTCTTCTCTCTCTCTCTCTCTCTCATTCTCTCTCTCTCTCTCTCTCTCTCTCTCTCTCTCTCTCTCTCCCTCTCTCTCTCTCCCTCTCTCTCTCTCCCTCTCTCTTAATCCTATTTAAACATCAAGCTACATGAGACTTAAGTTATGCAACTCACTTGACCACGGATTGACGTCATTCGTGACGTCATCAGACCAGGGAGTGACGCCAGCAGACCATGGTGTGACGTCACCTCCTTGATCCCAAGGAGAGACGTCGCCTCCGTTAGCCCAGGATGAATCGTGCGTCTGGTCTGAGTCGTTGGAGGCATATGCGTGGAGGGAGACTCGCACCGTCTGCTCTTCTCCAACCTGAGGCATGCAAACGAAATACTTTCCCGTTATTTACCGTTAACGGTTAAATACTTTCCCGTTATTTACAGTCACCGTGATACTTTCGTTAAAAATAGTCCTTAGTCATAGTTACATAAACAGGAACATCGCCGAGGTTAATTAAGCTACTAAAACATCACCGTCACAGTCATCGACGTTTAAACGTCAACCAACATTAAAAGACCACATGTGTGTGTATGTGTGTACGGTCCAGGAAGTTTAGAATCGCGGTGCCTTCTCGGCCTGGAGTAGCGATCGGACACTGCACCGCTATAGACCTGCACTATTCGTCCGCCAAGCAGTCGTTGATATAGTGTTTATTATCGCGTGAAGCCGGTGTCTGGCTGCGCAGTGCGCAGTCTGTTCCGGTCGGTTCGACTGCGTGGCCAGGGTCGAGTCGTCTCACAGAGGCAGCTCGGCGAGCGTCGAACACGAGCCCCGGCCTCAGTGACACGGTGTAGGAATGTGTGTGTAATACCGATACTTTGGTCCTTACAACGGCCGGTGTAGCGCGTGAGGAGGTGATCACCAGCTATCCTGTGACGGGATACTCGAGATGTATACTCACGTAGACCCACGAGCGGAGTTACGATCACAATACACTTCCGCTTTACACTTAAATTACAATGATTTTTAATGGCCATGAGTTGGGCGTGTTCGTACACCCGCTTACCTGTGGGTGTGGCGGCTATATGCATGGTGTAAGTTCCAAGAACTGGGATGCTGTATGTTAGTTGATGATGCTATGTTGCTATAGCTTCCGTGTGCGTAGCTAACATGAGAACTATTTAGGTACATTTGAGGAGGACTGTTAGGACTATATGTTTTCCAAGTCCACACCGAAGTATTTGCCTATTACGGACGAATTAATGTGTTTCGTCCGTGAGATCATGCAGCTAACTTCTGGCCTTTTACATACGCTCACCTTTACCGTGAAATCTTGTCACTTTATCCCTAAAGAAAAGGCATAGGTCAAGTTTATAAATTCAGGTCTGATCATCTTACCGGTGCGGCCAGTTTGTAGACCCGGAGAGTGGCCTGCTCTATGGTGACGTCATCGGGCACCGAGGGCAGAAATGACGTCAGGTTGAAATAGACGTCCATAGAGGGCGATGAACGGTCAGAGTCCTGACTCGACTCGGGCTGGTGGTCACCTGGAGACACAATCGGGTTCACGTCAGGTCACAGGTAATCGCGTGGTCACTGGTCATGATATACGAATGTAGTGCAACCGGAAACTCATTATCGATGTTTAAAGGGCTCTACAGCTGACCGGAACAAATTATGTAACCCCAATGTCACCCGATCTTTCTATAATTTCCGTCACCCTGTCACCTGTTCCTACAGTCTCAGGTGTGAACGTGACTGATGCCTCTCCCCGGCCCTACGCCACGACCTCTCCCGTCCCCTCCCCTCCATAGCAGCCCACACGATCTCCTACTCACAGGTCGGATAGAAGCTCTGCGCCCGTTTGAGTAGGTCGCTCCGGTCGTGGTAGCGCCGACTCTGCATGCTGCTGACCAGCCGCGCCAGCTTACGCCGCTCGTCGCTGGAGAGTCGCGGCGCTTGCGGTCGGCACGGCATATCCAGAGATATTAAAATGTGGTTTAGTATCTCCTTGAGCATTCTTTGCTCCTCCGCCTGCCGCCTGGGAGGGCAGATATTTGGTCAGTGTGGTCGTCACTCATCGGTTATAAATCATAAATTGGTTCTTGCCAATTTATGGCATAATAGTTATAACGAACATCATGTTATCGTTCTAGACGATAGGGGAGAGAGGTCATATTGCGCCATGTTCTTAAATGCGCCACACCTTCCTCCTGTCCAAAATTCGATTCGAATGAATGCTCGAATGTGTGCATTTACTTCACCACCAATAACTCGCTCTTATTCCGGTCCACGGGGGCAGGTGAGGTGTCTCAGCTTTCTCGCAGACCATTTTTTGTGATTTCCTCTATTTTCTTACGCGAAACAGTCTATTTCGACCTTTGCTAGTGTCATGGTTTATCTTAGAGATAGTGATTCAACTAATAATCATTGTTAATTGCTCGTTTAATGGTAGTTTTGAAAGTTTATCACCACCGTGGCTTCGCTGTCCTCGCCATATTTGAAGCTCGTGAAAAATGTGTTCCATTCGTAATTGCGTCCACCCTATTTGCGCCCTATTCTTCAACCCAGAGAAACAGCATCTGGTGGTTGGGACACATTTCATTGAACACTTTGATTATTAGAGCGCTCACCTTACCATTACCTTAGCCTTCACATCATAAATGGTTAATGGGCTGACACGTTCAAATAGGCTTCTTATTTAGGTGGCAAACCGTTGTTTTTAATAGGGCGCTTTTACATGAGAGGTATGGGCGCTTTTTGATGGGGTAGTCCGTAAATGCGCCCTTTGCAGGTGTGTCGGAAAACTTTTCCCTTGTTAATTTTTATGGGTGTGATACAAATTAGGAGTTGTAATTTGATGCCAAAATAACTGAGGTACAATTTGAGATATCATCAAGCATGACAGCTGGTCAACTTTAGCCGCAATAGGCCGATATCCTTAAGGTGGCGCAATATGACCTCTCTCCCCTACGCGCCGGCCGAGGGGAAGGAGGGGGGGAGGGGGGATGGTACGATCCCCTTCGCCGTATCGCCCCTGATGGAGCTAAAGCGTCGCGGAAAATACGAGCATGTGCGCCGTTATGAGACGTAGCAAATGGTATCCGATTTTAAGGTTTCAGGTCAACCGGTGACCTTTAAGCTCAGGTCAGGTGACCCAACACACGGGTTCAGTTTTTCATAAATAATTTCGCAAAAAACGGTCGTAGAGCTGCTATTTTGGCATCATCGTGTTCGCCTCACTCAACGCACCGAACGGTATACTTTTTCTTCGGTTGAGGCCAACCTGAGATGTTGAACTCAGGTCAAGGTCAGGTCAGCGCCCCCAGGTCACGAAGCTGGTCAAAGAAGGTCATGTCGCATAGCATTCGATTTTGCAGGTCTTCCTGAGTCCATTGGTGGCTTTGCCGACTCGGTAGCTTAATTTGGTCGAGAGATCTTGACGACAAGCTCTTATGCCCAAGTGACGTCATAAATGACGTCACGCAAGGTCAACAATGCACAAATGAAGCATCGGACCTTGTCACGCAAGGTCAACAATGCACAAATGAAGCATCGGACCTTGCAAGGAGTGCAAGAAATCACGATTTCGCGTGCTTGAGATATAGTTTGAGATCGTTCCCGATGCTAAACTAGCAGTTTTCATTTTTCCCCATTAATTTTAATGATGAGGTCACGTGAACGACCTGACCCCATGTGACCTGAGAATGCAGGATGAGCTTTCTAAACCAGCAGAGCAGTTGAAAGAGGACAAAGAACCGTATGCTTAGCCTTTTCATAGGAAAATGATTGTCTTGATTCTACGTAGCACAATTTATCGCAAGATTGTCAACCGATATTAGCAAGGCCGCGGTCGCACACTCTCGTTCCTATAACTCGTGCACGGAGATCTATTGGATGTGCGATGCGTTCTCGCAGTCAGGAAGGGAAGGATAATCTGAAGCGGCTCATATTTCTCGCCGCATCCCGAGAAGGACCGCCCACTCACCCACAAATTCCCGTCTCAGTTCCGCGGAGACCGGCGAGTACACAGTTCGGACAACTGCTGTGTATTCGCTGTAAATACAGCAAATTATCGCTCACTGTGGTATCTACTGGGGCGTCGGTGGAGCGGCAGACCCGACCGCAGCGGTGCGGCGTGCCGCCCATCTGTCGGCTGACGGGGGACGGATGAGCGCGCCGCCACGCTCGCTGACGAGTGGTGACGCCTCCAGCCGCCGCCACGCTCGGTGACGGGTGGTGACGCCTCCAGCCGCCGCCACGCTCGGTGACGAGTGGTGACGCCTCCAGCCGCCGCCACGCTCGGTGACGGATGGCGTCTGCGGCGCGGCGCGGCCCCTCCCGGCTGTGTGTACTATAAACTGTCTGACACTGAGCGGCTTCCCAGAAGGGGCCGCGGGGATCCTCGAACGGACCGGCCCCGTGGGGTGTCGGCTGCACGGGCGTTCAGCACGCCCTGAAAATGATGCCCTTCTGGTAACCACCTCCAAACACCATATATTCAGATGCTTTATTATATAATGCTATAACGACTTACGAACGGTGAAAACTGAAAAGGGTGCCTGGCCTTTTGTATAAAACCACTCGGGTAATTTGCCTCGACTTTATTTACATAACGCATTTTATCAGGAAGACTGAGCGCTGATCAGTTTGAACGAGCACATTTTAGCATTCAGTAGGTATTTATTGTTCATAAAATGACTTATAAACGCTCATATTATGAAAAAGTAAGATATATGCGACATGCGCATTACCAACGGACAGACAGTCGATATTTACGGTCAATGGTCAATAAGAGAAAATCCGTTTGTTATGTGCAATTGATTGCATAATGCATATGCATTATATATTAGGTATATTATTGTTTTTAAGTAGGTCATTCATTGCTACAAATATCGTCACATAAAAAATACAAATATTACAGATTATAAGAGAGTATTTGTGCTTATGGCGGATCCCTTTAAAACCGTGTCCTTTTTCATAAAGATTCTACAATCCGATTGTAGTTTGTACATTTGTAGTTTTCAAAGTACAATTTAACAAACTACTACTTTTCATAAAGCCTGGACATGCGGCGTCAATAGAATTGTACTTTTGATCCGGGAGCGTAGTTTTGCGGGGCTTCGTCTCCATGGCAACGGAGTAAACAAAAACTTCTGCAACAGTTTTCGATGTTGTGTTGCAAATTGCGTATGGTGTGCTGACAGTTTTTTGCAATTTTTAAAAGAAATAATTATTGATAAATAACTTGAATTGCTTTTAGGGATCAGCTATCGCTTTGCACATGCATAGCTAGAACTTTTATGCTGAAAGTGTTAACATTTTCAACATTGCAATCATTTCAAGATGTGCTTGTTTCGAGATTTGGTATCTGGGTAAGTCCAACAAGTCATTAGTTTCTTGAAAGACTGCTTCATGAATTGTTCAGACAATAATGCAAAAATGGCTGAAAAAGTATTAGGTTAAGCCTATCCGAGTTATAGAGTGGTTATTATGGATATTGTTGACCGTCATATTACCTAGCGACGAGTTATGTGACCTCAAATTGCTTTGAGCCTTGAATATTTGATAAGTAATGCAGCCTTGTGAAGCAAGAAGCAACAAGAAAGCCAGCGAATCAAATGCCAAAATCAAAATGCAAGAGCATTGTGACGAAGCGAGAAGCAAATAGATGGAGGCTGGAGCCACCCAGGAGACGGGATGAAAACTGATAAAAATACAAGCTTTCCTACTGCGTGGAAGGAAATGGGCTACATCTTGAAGGGAAGGTGCATGGTCATTCCATCAGTGTTGGTTGAAGAAACTGAGCCGGAAACAAATAGGACATGAGCGTAGGCTGCTCTTTTTTCCCAGAGAACTTTATCCGCAAAAAACTGCAATGTTAATGTAAGATTATGAGCTACGTTTAAAAATAAATGTTACATGAGTCGATCGATGGTGGTATAGTACCTAGGCATAATGTTTTCAGATATTGATATCAATAATAGCTAGGCATATATTTATCCTTCACTTTTAGATATTATTCGTGAACTTATTATGACTAACTACTGATAAAAGGTTCGTATGAATAAGGAAAATAAATTGTTGATAAAATGCCCTCTTTTTGTCGAATTATAAACAATGAATAGGCACGAACGATGCTACGAATTTCAGCGCTTTAGTTCCTTCCGTTCAAAAACGCCATTGGCGTGGGTCAGCCGGATCGAGGGGGGGTCGGGTCGAGCCGTTCAATGCCGGCATTTTTTTTGGAAATGCGGCTCACATGAAGTTATATATAAACAGGAAAATGATGAAAATAACCAGTTAAGTGCCTTTTGGGCGAAAAACGAGCGAGCGAGCGAGCGAGCGAGCGAGCGAGTGAGCCCTGCATGTGCACTGTACAGGGCGCCAGGGTAGCTCCAACTGGCAACAAAAAAGACCGAAGGCCAATCGGTCCAGCAGTTGCTGAGATATTAGCCCGTCAAAAGTGTTACTGTTTGGGCCGGACCGGGCGGCTCAATACTGAGGTTTTTTTCGTTATATTGAAAAGACCTCGCTTCGCTCGCTGCGCTCTCTCGCTCAGTAATAATACATATCGTGTATCTGAGCATTGGTTATTATTGAATTAAAATATTAGCAACGTTAAGCTGATTCCTATGCTTCATCTCCGAAATTCTACACACGGTTAGGGCGTTGTAGATTTCGATTGTATTTTCCGTCAAGGAAATCCCAAAATCAGAGGAACCGTTCTTTTTATGAAACAGATTGCTAGTTTTTTGGCTGATAATTGCCGAATGTGAGTTGTAGGTTTGTGGAATTGTAGTTTGTACTTTCGGATTGTACTTTTTCCTTTATGAAACAGATTTGTACAATCGAAAGTACAAACCTACAAACTACAACTACAATTCTACAATTCCAGGCTTTATGAAAAAGCCTGCTATTGGACGGTCCTGAAAGGTCCTGAAAGTTTAAACAAAATCGTATCATATAATTTTGTACAATGAGCGAATGAAAATGTCTATGCAAAAACGTCCATTGACTTTACATGGGGAGCGAAAAAAG